AATGCGAGTTATGGACTTTTTTGCTGTTACACTTAGCTTTATGGGACCACACGGTTTTTGTCATGATTGGGTATGTATAGCAAAGTTATTTTATATGATATTCATGTTGTGAAACGCAATTTTTTTAATTTATTTATTTAGGGGGGACTCTGGTGTTTACATTAGTGCATGGGCTATTTCGTGCCAAATGCAGGTCTCTCCTAAGGAAATTCCTGATCCCAAAAACGCAGCTTTGCCACTGAATGCTTATATGCTTCACAATTTGGCCCATGTTGAGCTCAATGCAATTGATTTGGCGTGGGATACTGTTGTTCGGTTTTCTCCCTATAGTGAAATTCTTGGGGAGGGATTCTTTGCCGACTTTGCTCATGTTGCTGATGATGAGAGTCGCCATTTTTCTTGGTGTTCTCAAAGGCTTGCTGAACTTGGTTTTAAGTAAGGATAGTTGGCACTGTGTGCGCGTGTGTTTTACATTGGTTACAATTTTCACTTATGCTTTGTGCTTAACTAGATTTTTTGGGAGCCTATGTACATAATTAGATATGGAGATATGTCCGCTCACAATTTACTTTGGAGGGAGTGTGAGAAATCCTCAGACAATGTTGCTGCACGTTTGGCAGTCATCCCGTTAGTCCAGGTAACTTGTTCCGCACGTCCAGTCCTATTCTGAAGTATATGCTTTCCAGTTTCCAGCATGTAAATATATGTTTTAGTGATAAGCTGCTTATTTAATTTGACAATGCAGCTGTTTTCATGAGTCTGTGTTTTGTTATTCCATCTATGTTTTATGGAATGTGACAAGAAGAACGACCCATGCTGATTTTTTTTTTTTTACTGTGAATTCTTTCGTTGGTTCATGGTTTATATGCTGCTTATGAAATCATACATCTCCATGGATTTGAATAACCTTCGACTCTCAAATAGGTCTGACTTGTGAGCACTGATCTTTCTATTGGAACAATTATGAGAATTCTGATTTCTCAATCCTTTTTTGCCTGCAAAAGGTTGGGGGCAGTGCTAGGAGATCCTTTTTTAATTACTCCCTGAATATTGCCTTTCTTTGATAAATGAGTAAAATATCAGTGTTTATTATTGAGCTAACAATTATTATGGAAGTGTTGCTCAATAATAGCCCGAGTGGAAATCAATTTGCTTTACCTTCATGAGTGGGTAGAAGGATTTTTTCAGCAAATTAACCATCGTGCTGGAACAAAAAATTTTATTCATCAAAATACTATACTTTCAAAAATATTTACCAAGATACTACAAATTGAACTCGGCTTCCATGGCATCGAGTTTAATATAGTTAGGAAAAAAATCAAACGTACTTGCTTGCAACTCTCTCTCTCTCGTCTCACCCACGACTGGTTCATGTTCTTTTCTCAGTTAATGTGAGTTATGTGACTCCCCTCTCTCCTCACAAAAGTTACAAACAATTCTCCCCATCCTCATGTATAAACTGGATGTAATATGGAAAGAGATTGAGAATAGGAGAAAAGAGAGAAATCTAGATGAGAATTGAGAGTGTAACTCTCTTATTTGTATATGTTGAAAGTTATGCTGTACTCTTTTTTCCTTAACTAGGGTTTTGTCCCATTGAGCTTTTTTAATAAGGTTTTTAATGAAATAACTTCAATAAATGTAAAGATATTGTGTATTTTTTTTTTCCTTCACTAAATTTTTATCCTATTAGGCTTTTCCTAGTAAGGTTTCGATGAGGTATAATATCTAGACATTTAAGGAAAAGTGTTATGAATATTAGAAGATTTTGTGGATGTCTATATCTTTTAGTTACTCTGAATCTTTTGGTTATTATTATTATTTTGCATAATTTATTTGATTTAATTGATTACACCTGTGCATATAAATAGGAGGCATCTCAATTATATTTAATACACAAAAATAAGAAAGCTCTTAATCCTCTTATTCTTGGTTTCTCTCTTCTCTCCTCTTCTCAATCTCTATTTTCCTAACAAATATATAATTTTTTATCTAAATAATTCATATTACATCTACCATATACATGAGGAGGGGGAGAATTGTTTGTAACTTTTGTGAGGTGTGAGGGGAGTCACATTCACCGAGAAAAGAAAATGAACTAGTAGTGGGTGAGAGGAGAGAGAGAGAGTGGCAAACTAGTAAGCACATTTGATTTTTTTTCCTAACAATACAAAACTCAGTGCCATGGAAGCCAATTTCCATATATGCCTGACACAAATTTTTTGGAACTTGGTATCTGTAACACTGATTTTCAATTTGCAGTATCTTGGTAAATAAAATTTTTTGCTACAGCGTGTTGGTCAATTTGTCAATTTTTTCCTCTATTTTAATGATAACTGACGTGAATCCACCACTAATCTTTTTGCCAATAATTTGGTGTCTACATATCATTTTGTTCTTTCAATTACCTTTATTCTTAATCATACTGCGTTTCATGAGCTACTGCCAACTTTCTGCGGAGGGAAGGTTCCTCAAACAGATGATGCTTCTTTGAGTCAAATATTTGTCATTCTTGTCAAATTGTTGCGAATGTTGTCCCTCAGACATCACATGCTACAGAGATAGAGGTGCTTTGATCAATATGATCTTGATGCTCTGGATGTGCTTATTTATTTTACTTGTAGGAGGCTAGAGGACTTGATGCTGGCCCACGGCTGGTGCAAAAGTTAGTGGGATTTGGGGACAATAGGACATCAAAAATAGTAGCTAGGATTGCTGATGAAGAAGTTGCACATGTAGCAGTAGGTGTCTATTGGTTTGTTTATGTCTGTCAGAAGTTGGATTGCCCCCCTGGCTCAACTTTCAAAGGTTTTTGAAAGCCTGTTAAATCTCATTGCATCTGCTCACTTATGTCCAAATGGAAAGCTTACAAGCTTCAACACAATTCTCTACAACCATGCAGACTTGCTAAAGGAATATAATGTGGAACTGAAGGGTCCATTTAATTTTTCTGCTCGAGACAAGGCTGGAATTCCCCGTGATTGGTAAGAACCTGTTGACTTAGCTGAATCTCAAACCCTATTCCAGATAATTGACTGCTTGCAATTTACTAATCCTCCTTGCTGATTCTTGATTTGTTTCTTGTGCTTGCCTCGTCTATTGTCTAGGTATGACCCCTCATCTTCTAGCAGTCTTGACGAGAGAGACGAAAATGACCAGAAAAAACAACTCTCTGCGGTAAGCTATTGAGGGTCTTGTGCAAGATTATTGGGCAGATTCAATCTACAAAAGATAAGTAGAAAATTTGTCTAAATGATAAGTAAATCAAGCCAATAATGAAGTGACATATAAATATACTAAAATTGGATTTCATTGAAAAATGTAAATATGAAGCTTAACAATCTCTTCGTGAGTGATTTGGTGTCTTTGTTTTTCTTGGGTATTTTGCCCATGAGTTTTCAAGAGTGTTGCTGTGAAGAGTTTGACCTCATGATTCCACTTCCACCCTTGGATTTTTATCTCGTCTAGAGATTTTTTTAGCATATCTTTAAACACAGAAAAATATCCAAAGGTAGAAGCCTTCTAACATCTCAAGCTGTTGATTTTTTTACACCGAGGCTGTTTTTTGAACAATTGCACTTTCTATAGTTTCAATTTTGGACATGGATGTGTTTAAATCCTCACCAACAATGAAGGGAAGTAAATGAAAGGAGAAGAGCCTTGCAAGCTGATCCACTCTAGAGGGCTCCACATCCCTGTCTCCTCTTCTCCCATTGCATCTCCATTTCAAGTGGGGATTTGAATTCAGATTTGGATGATCTCATGTGGTCAAACGGAAGTGTTAAATTTTTTTTTTTTTTTTGAACTTACTAGTAGTTATGTCACATTTCTGATTTTTATTTTTTGAAATTCTTCCTTTAGAAAAAGAAGGGAAAATTAATCTCCATATGAATATCATCATTAGTACAAGATATAGAGTATAGGAAGCTGCTTGAAGTTATGTAAGAAGAAAAGAAGTAAATATTGAGCATATTTTTGTGCTAGCCTTTTAATTTGGAAACACTTTAATCTCTCTCCGTTAAAGAGAATTAAAATTATCCAATTTTAGTAGGTCTTTCACCAAAATGGTGAGTATGTGTGTGCTGTTGCAGGTCCGCGAGAGGCTGGCTTCCATTATTGATTTGGAAGGTGAGAATTTTAAGTTGACCAGGTGATGGATTGGAAGGTGCTTGAAGCATCCTTCCTTGATTTGAGGCCAATTCCAGCTCGCCACCCTTTGCTTTGGCACGCCCACGACCCGGCTTTGAGATTTATGCAAAGTGTTTTGGATTCTTTTAGAATTAAGACTTTTCTGTTTTTGTTCTTTCGGGGGCCATTGAGACTTTGGTTCTTATCCTTGCAGTATATATTCCGCGCGATTGCATCTTTTTATTTTATTTATTTATCTTTTATTTATTTATTTATTTTTTTTTTGCCAAGAGAAGAAAAATAAGTATTGTAGTTTACTCTGGTTTTTTTTATAAGTTCTTTCTATCAATTTTATCAATACTAATATAAAAAAAATATAAGGAATAAAAATGTGTAGAATTTTAAATATGTTCATGTATAATAAATTTAAAAAATAATATTATATTATTTTTTTAAGGATAATTTTAAAAATATATTTTAAATATTATTTAAAAAATTGCATAATAATTTATAAATGAAAGTAAATAGACTTTTTATGAAATGCTTTATAAATGGAACCAAGGGAGTATACATTAAAAAAGTATTCATGATCAATGGAATATATATTAAGTAAGAAACAATTGGAGCTTTTAGCCTCCTAGTGCAAGGTTGGTTTATAATAGATGATTATGTCTATTCATCCATATGTATAAAAAAGATGATTATACTGTAATTGTAATATGAAAAAAATCCACACAAAAAAGACCATTTAATTTGATTTTTTCATTCAAAGCATGCAGTGGGATAATAATCAATAGCAAAAGCCATATTCAATATTAAAACGGAGATGTTCTTAAAGTCAGAAATTAGACGTGGCCTAATAATTTAGAAGAGAATAAGGGTCATAATTCTTTATCATTGAAAACGGAAAAGGAAAATGAAAGAGGTTCAAGCTTGCTTTGATCGGAAACTTCTTAGGAGCATGGGGTTTACTTTCATATGTAAAGCCAGAAAACGTGTCTTCTCTTCCTAATCATAACAGAGCAGAATTTCCCATACCTACTCCTTCATCTCTCTCTCTCTCGCTCTCTCGCTCCATTTCACACGCCAGAAGAACAAAGTTGCAGACTTGTGCAAACAGCTCAGAGAAAGACAATGTGTAGTGCAGACGGCGATTGCAGGCCTTTAGGGTTCCTTCTGGGTCTTCCCTTCGCCTTCCTCTCTCTTCTCCTTTCCGCCGTCGGCCTCGTCGTCTGGATCATCGGGTATCCTTCCTATCTCTTATCACCTGATTATCTTCGATTTCTCTGTGATACTTCAATTTGTAATTTTTCTGTGATGCTGTAATTTCAATCCAAATTAAATTGAAACAGCACGTGCATGCTTACCTGAGTACTTGGTTTTGATTGATTTGGATTTTGATATTTGCAGATTGTTGTTGACATGTATATGCCCTTGCTGCTTGTGCCTGACGGTGATAGTGGAGCTTGCTTTAGAGTTGGTGAAGGCTCCGTTACATGTAATGGAGTGGTTCACTTCTCAGATCCCTTGTTAAGATTTCTGTTTGTTTGAACCATGTCTGCTTTCTGATCATCCTCTTGTTCATAGTTTTAGCGCTTTAAAGTTACTATTCATCTGTGGTTTCTCTGGAAAACTATTGCCAAATTCAATGAATTCCAGTAGTAAATTAGCAAATTGAGGATTTCCCCGTCGTGTTTTGTTTTTTGCCTGTTTATTGTGCATATGTCGTTGTTGATGACAGTGGAAACAAACCGCTATAGTTTCTGTAACACAGATCTAGAAGAACTTTCCGTTTGATCTTTGGATCACCAGTATAATGATGTGGTGTCTGCATCGAAGGGCAAAATTGAATATTATTGTGTATACTGTAGAGCAATGTTTTCAGAATCGAAACTGAACATTGAATTGAAAAAATCAACTATTCACAGTTTGTATGATTCAATCGGCTAGATCACTGGTTCAACTGACGTAATAATTAAATTAAAAAAAATTATATATATATATATATATATAATAATTTAAATATAAAAAATATTTATGAAATTGTTATTTAACTTGAAAAAATTAAATATTTTAAATTTATCATGATTTAATAAATCACATGATATAACATAATATTAAATTATTAAAAAAATTAATCTTGTTTTAAAAAAATTTGATAAAAAATAAAAAAAATTTTTTAACAATCTAATTTTTGAAAATCAGATTTAGTTTCAGGCTTGATTTTGATTGTCGGTCCGATCGTTAGTTCAAAATGACTCAACCCGACTCAATTTTTAAAACGGCTTTTTCTTTTGAACTAGACTGAAAATTAGATCGGTCGATGGTCAGACCGGTTCAACTGACCGCTCCGGTTCGGTTTTAAAAACACTGTTATAAAGTCTAATTTTTTATAATAAAAAACAATTCTCTCTTTTATATATTCGATTGCACAGTACACGTGATTATGAGATGCTGATAACACGGATAAATAATGTTTCTATACCACTCAGTTGAGCTTGTACAGTGTATACTGAGGTAGAATATTGAGGAAATCGACATTAAAAAGCAAACAAATGAAAATCGTCGGAACATTGTATTATTTCTTGAAGACAATTATATTATCATCTATACAATGTGCTCTCTTTCTTAAAAAATATAAAATATTTTTAATTAAATTTTATCTTTCAATAAAACAGTTATCTATTTTAAAATTAATCTTATTTTTTTTATATTTATTTTTATTAAATATCCTATAATAAATATAAAATTATTATTAATAAAGATATTTAAAAAAATAATGATTACACCTTGAAAGATTTAAAAATATTTTATATTTTTAAATATTCAACTCTTTAAAAAATATTTTATATTTTTAAATGAGAGGAGTATTTATCAATCATCACAAAACAATATCTAATACTAGTTCAATTCAAATTCATATCTTGAAAATTGGTTCAATGTATCTTGTCTGATTTTTATGAGTTTTATTGAAATGAGATCAGTTAAATACTTAAATTGATTCTAAATACGTGCTAAATATGGATAAATGAACAAGGAAAACTTATTGAAGTTTATTACTAGTTTTTTCAAAACAAAAGAAGGAAAGAAAGTAGGTGTGGAGATTTCTCTAACGAGGTTAGATTAGGCATTTTAAACTCTGAAATGGACGCGTTTTTTCAACAAACGCGGCCTATAGAAATGCTGCACTGAAAACAACGCGTCAATGTATTCGTCAGTCAACGATCGTGTTTTCAATTGAAGCATGCCCACTTAGAAACTGTCAGTTGAGCCTCCACTCTCCAAAATGACAGGGCTTTGGGTTTGGGCCGGAAAGCCCGTAAACATTTATTTTATTCGTTTAAATTTAAAATATTAATTATATTAGTACGCATGATAATAAAACTTTTAATTCTTTAAATTGACTCTTAAATTTTATTTTCATTAATTTAATTTTTTATATTTTTTTAAAATTATTATGAAATTTATTTAAATTTTAAAATAATTTAATATATAAAATATATTAAAAACTTGACATGTATATATAATTAAATGAGAACAAACTAAACCTCAAACTATTTTAACTTTCGAAAATACAATCTTTTACAACATGTTTTGTTATTTTATTTTTTAAAATTCAGAGTTTTTTTTGCCTAAATAATTATATTCATTTTTATTTATGTACATAGCCAATATCAATATTTTGGCATTCACCTTAGAAAATTTTAACAGTGTAACCTATTTTTTTAAACAATAAAAATTAAATTAATAATTAAAGTAAATTTGGAAAATTAAATTGATAAAAATTAAATATTAAATACTAAATTAAAAATTAAAATAAATTTAAAGGATTAAAAGTTATAGATTTTAAAGGTCTTTAATTAAATTTTTCCTTATAAACTCTGCAGTATAGATATAGATCTTGAAATAAAATATATAATTTTCTATTTACAATTTTAATTATGCTAATAAATCAAATAATTTTAAAAGTTAAAGGTATTTTTACCCTTAAACTATTCATTCAAAAATATCTGATATCCTAAACTTATATGTGATATAATTTTTTTTTTAACTTTTAAAAATTGTACAATAAGCATTCCATCATTAAAAAAGTTAATTTTAACTATTAGTTAACTAAAAAATTATAAAAAGATAAAAAGATAAAACTTATAGAAAATGAGACATAAAATTGCAAATAAATATTTTATACAAAAATTAATATCAATCAAGTCCTTGGAACAATGGTCGGAATAAGAAATAATATTTGTAACCTATTATTTATATATAATTTAGGGGACATATAATTGATATTAATTTTTAATAGGGTATTTATCTATAATTTTAAGAGTCAATTTTTTTGTAATTTTATGTTATTTTTCGTAATTTTTAAGTCAACTAACTACCTAAGTTAACTTTTGTAATGGCAAGTTATTTAATGTATAATTTTCAAATGTTGAATGAAAAAATTACATTACATGAAAGTTTAGGATATGAGATATTTCTAAGCGAATAATTAAGAGACAAAAATATTCTCCAATTCAAATTTTAATCATTTTTTTGTAATGTTAACAATTTCAATCAAATGATTTTAACCACTTATAAAATCACACAAATTCTTTCATCTAAAAATCACTTATTTTTTTAAGCCTGACTTAATTCAGAGGGCTATACTCTCACAGCCACACATGACATGGCCACCTTTAGGTACCTCTAGTAAAACTGGCAGGCCAAGTCATATGAATCCCATGTGATTTGATGAAAATAGTGAAATGTATGGAACATCGTACATGAATTGAAGATGGAAGCAATGTGGCGAATGAAAGACGAATTGATATTGAAAATTTCACAAGAAAATAAAAAGGTCCGACAATTTCAGTTATCGCATTTTCAAAAATATGAAAAATATTATTTGCATAAAAAGACAACTAATTTAGGATTTGATAACCTTATAAAACTCTCCAAACTCCCTTCACAATTATTATGCCACTCTCTTTTACTAATTCTCTAAAATTCTCGAACTCAATTTTGTCATCACTATCCCAACATCCTTAAAATCCTCACCCCTTTCATCTCTCCAACGTCCAATTTTGAAAAAAAAAAAAAAGAAAAAAGAAAAATAATGATTCTATAAGTTAGAAAATGAAAAATACACTTTTCCCTCGCTTGGGGAGAGAATTCTAATTATTTTTGTTAGAAAAGTGGTCCACAATTGAGATAAACAGAAAATGTAGGGTTTGTTTTATATTTTCAACCTGATCGATCAGTGCACGGAATCCAAGCCACAAGTTGGGGGAATAAATAATAATGCATGGTGTGTGTACACACACACACACACATCTCACAATGATATTGTGCGTGTGCTCCCAAGATTTGAAACATTGCTCCTAACACATTCGAACGTGCAAAATTCCCTCAGTTGCTCTCTAGTTTTTCTTTATTATTATCCTCTAGAATTAATCGACTCAGATGTGCTGGTACGTATATGTTCAGAGTCAAGACCCTAAACCAACTTGTATTAAAAATTAATTCTAAGGATATAGTTTGTATTTTCAGTTTTAGTTCAATCTTTATTTAAAAAAAAATTAGAGAGACAAGCATCAATAACTCAAGGTTACAGGAAGGATTGAATCCGTGACATTCTACTAAAACTTACACGTCACTAAGTTATGTACAAAGCCATTTTCAATCGTTGTAATTTGTATGTTGCTGCTTATTAGTAACACTTTTGCGGCCCAAATTCAAGCTAAATAAATGAGCAGATGAATGCTACAACAATGAATTATTTCACCATTAAAAGCTTGTTTCATTTGTAGTTTTAGTAATTTGGTCAGATTTTGAGTCGCCTATTGAAATTAAACTAATATTGACATCATAAGAAACAATTTCATATAAACATCTCATGGACATTACATGAACATCTTCCCTGATCTTTTGCAGTTGTGGAGAAGCATGATTTTATGGTAGGAACATGTTATTTTAATGTTTTCTTGCAGATACCAATTTGACTAAAACGGATATGCCAGTTAATTCCCAATCCCTCCCCCCTCTATATTCCTTACTATAGTAATCACACATGCAAAAACAATGCAAATCGAAATTGCATATTGGATATGGAATTCCACTCTCTCTAGCGCACCGCCTGTATCATCATAGCATCATCAACGTAGGAAGTAGTGGAAGGCACAGAGATTATGAAGCTCGCTAGATTCTCAAGCTGTCGTGGTGTAGCATTCGAGATCAATCCTAATAGAACCAACCCTTTTGCAATAATAGGGTCATCCTCTTCACCACCACCACCACCATTATCATCACTGCCAAAGCAAGATAGAACGGGAGCTAACTGGATATGGCTTCCATGGAGTCGTAACAGTTCTTTCAAGATATTCCCTCGGTCTCACCACTCGGCTAGCCCAAGTAGGAGCCGAGCCAGCAGCCACTTCTGTGACATTGACATGGACGAAGCAGGCGGGGATGTTGAAGTAGAGTTCTTAGCAGAAATTGAGGATTTAGAGACACCAGAGAGGTCAAGGTTGCACCACCAAAGAATGCGAAAACTTCAAGGTTGTCAGTGATTCTGCTTGATCAAGGCTTCACGGTGTACAAGATCTTATTTTTGGTTTGTTTGAGCTTGAACATGGTTGCTTTGGCTCTTGCAGCTTCAGGGCATCTCCAATATGGGAAAGACACAGCAACACTGTTCTCCATTGGGAACGTTTTAGCTCTAACGTTGTGCAGAAGCGAGGCAGCACTAAGATTCATCTTCTGGTTTGCTGTGAAAACTCTCGGTAGGCCAAGTGTTCCTCTCAAGATCAAAACTTCAATCACTTCCTTTCTTCAAAGCCTCGGAGGAATGCACAGTGGATGTGGGGTTTCTTCTATAGCTTGGCTTGTCTATTCTCTTGTCCTTACAATCAAAAACAAAAAGCTAACTTCGCCAGAGATTATTGGATTAGCATTTGGGATTCTCACTCTAATTTCTCTTTCTTCCCTAGCCGCCTTTCCTGTCATCCGCCATCTTCATCACAACTTCTTCGAGCGAACACATCGTTTCGCAGGGTGGATGGCTCTGATTCTTCTCTGGTTCTTCATCTTCCTCTTTATAAGCTATGACCCTAGTTCAAAAACCTACAATGCAACCATCTCTATGTTAATAAAGAGGCAAGAGTTTTGGTTCACCGTAGCCATAACCATCCTGATCATCACTCCTTGGCTAACTGTAAGAAAAGTTCAAGTCAAAGTGTCAGCAGCATCTAGCCATGCTTCAGTTATAAAATTTGATGGTGGGGTTAAACCAGGATTACTTGGAAGAATCAGCCCATCGCCATTATCAGAATGGCACGCCTTTGGGATCATTTCAGATGGGGAAAAGGAACACATAATGCTAGCTGGTGCAGTTGGGGATTACACCAAGTCTTTAATCTGTAACCCACCAAGCCACCTATGGGTTCGAACCATGCACTTCGTTGGCTTGCCTTATCTGATAAATCTGTACCAGAGGGTGTTTTGGTGGCCACTGGTTCAGGTGTGTGTTTGTTCTTTCTGCTGCAACCATGCCCTGCAAACGTTTTTCTAGTGTGGGTGGCTAAGGATATTGAGATGAACTTTGGGAAGGAGATTATTGAGTTCTTGGGGAGATATTCGAAAGAGAAGATGATTGTTCATGACACTGCAATTAGTGGGAGGCCGAATGTTGGAGAGATGAGTGTGGATGCTGCAATTAGGTGGGATGCTGAAGTGGTCATTGTTACAAGCAATCCCGAAGGAAGTAGAGACGTTGTTAGAGCTTGTAAGAAGGCTGGGATCCCTGCTTTTGGGCCTATTTGGGATTCTTGAAGGATACTCAAGTCATAAAAGGGAGTTAAGGCGAGAATATATATATATATATATTCTTTATTATTAGCCATACCCTGTTCAATAGATATATATATATATATATATCATGTACTACTATATTCATTCACTCCCTCTGTTTAAATTGAACAGGGTGTGGCCGATAATAAGGAATTCTTATTGGTTATAGCAATTTTGTAGAATTGAAGAAGCCTTTGATAAATATATATCATACTAATTGCTTCATTATTGGTTCATTTGGTACGAATTATAGTAAATACTAAGTGAATAGTACATTGATTTATTTAATATTGTATTGAACATAAGAGAAAGAGAAAACGCTACCCATATTCATATTTGTATGCTACACTCGGATCGTATAAAATCTTCAAGTTATTTGCCCAATGAAAAATGTGCCACCTGATTTTTTTTTTATCTTAAATGTGAATTTTTTACATCACCGATAATTTTATCTTTGGCTTGAAATGGTGTTAGAAATATAATGATAAATAAACAAGCTCAGTTTATTAAGAATAAAACATATTATACACACTGACATGGTTCTTAATATGACATGATTAGAACACTCATGATCCTAGCTTATGCAATTGCACCGACTGGCAAGTGGTTCCTTTCCCACTAATGACTAATGCAATTGCTTCAGCATGATCTATGTATTACATTACAATTACATCACCAACCCAAGACACCAAAAACATAGTTATAAATTTTGCACCCACACAATTTTTTAGGGACGACAAGCGGAGTTTACAAATCGGACATTCTGGAATCGCCATAAGCGACTTTTATTTATTTACAGAATTCACGAAACAAAACGCCAAAACATCAACACACTGAACATGTCTGTCTATCGACTCCATAAAACCTCAGGTTTTCCTGGTTTCAAAGGTCTCTCTTCTAGGCACTTCATAAGTCAACCCTCCTTGGTTGCCATGATCAAACTCTGATCCAATGTTCTGTTTCGAGCCTGATTCTATTTCATCATCTCCCACAACCATGGTTTTGGTTGTCTGTCTGTGCTTTTCTGTTATGGTTTCTCCAATAGCATCGATAAAGCCACTTCCTGCTTGACCTTTCTGAACTTGTTCTGAGGCTCTCTCTGCTGGTCTGATCATTGTCTGTCCGATTTCACCTACAGTTTCACCTACTGCTCCTATCACCTCGCTTCCCTTGTGCAGCTGCATCTAATGGCTTCTTCATTGTCTGCGCAAAATCTCCCACTGCTTCTTTAGTGGATTGGGCATATTGGCCTATAGTTTCGCCAATCCCACCACCTTCCTGAAAGCTTCCAGTGATGTTTTGGAACATGCCTCCTCCTTTTTGACCTTGTTCTTGTCCAGATGATGGCCTCCGCTCAGTTTCCTCAAGTGAAACCGTCATAAGAAAGTCTCAGTTTTCAGCAGCGTTATCATAGTACACTTTTCAATAAAATCACAGCACATTCACTGGAGATTAAACTCAACTCTATTCAAGTCAGGGTTGCAAAAATTATTTTCAAGTATGGAACCTAAATAAAAAGTTAAAGAACTTAAGCTTTTAACGTCATGTTCTTCATAATCTAAAAAGCAAAATATTAGAAACAAATGCTCATAAATTCCTTCTCTTTTCCCTCAGACTTTGACATGACACTAACTTGTACTCCTTTTCATGGGAAAGGAAAAATCAATTAGAATCTATTTTACAAAAACACAAACAAAAAATACTCTTCAAATATCCTAAAATTAGAACATATTTTCCAACAGAATTTTCAATTCCGAAATGTTTATCACCATTTAAGAAACAAGGATTGCATGTGAATCTGGAGCTGTGTGCTCAAGCATGATGCATAATGAATATATGAATTAGAAGCAGAAGGCCTGTTGGCCTAATGCCACCTTAGCCACCCCCAAATGTGAGGGGTGGCAGTTTCGAATGGGGGAAGCTTTCCTTTGGGAGTGTTGTGTGTGAATTAAGCCAATATATATATATAGATATATGAATTAGAACTGCGATTAAGAGAATAAAAACCTGTGGTTGAGACGCTTTTTTAGTTTCGTAATCCTTCTCTGCCTCCTCCTTCTTCCTCGCAGTATAATCCTTAGCAGTCTCCCCAGCTCTAGCAGCTAACCCTTTGACAGCACCTAATGACTTGGATGCAAGCTCACTGGCCTTATTAGCAGCATACCCCGCCGTTCCCTGAACAATATTCGCCGCCGCTTTTGTCCCTTCCACAGTCTTCTCCGTCGAATAATGCGCCGCCGTCCACCCTGCCACAGTCGCCTTGTCCTTCAGATCAGCCGCCAGTTTTCCAGCATATTCAGCAGCAGTCTTGCCAGTCTCCAGAGTGACATCCTTAGCCCGACCAGCTTTCTCTCCAACATATTGAGTAGTAGTGCTACCTGCAGATTTCGCCTTCTCTGCTGCTTGAGAGGTGTAATCTGCAGCCGTCTGAGTGGCGCTTGAGATGGTGTCTTTTGCAGAAGCATAACCTTGTTGGCCTTTCTCTAATGTCACGTCCTTAGCTTGAGCAGCCTTCTTTGCTGCTTGAGAGGTGTAATCTGAAGCCGTCTGAGTGGCGCTTGAGATGGTATCTTTTGCAGTAGCATAGCCTTGTTGGCCTTTCTCTAGTGTGTAGTCTTTGGCTTGAGCAGCTTTTTCCATTGCTATGTCCTTGGCCTGTGCAGCTTTCTCCTGAGTTGTTTGGGTTGTAGAACCGACTGTCTCATTAGCTGCCTGCTTTGCTCTTTCATACCGCTCCTGTGCTGCTCTCATAGCTTCCATTGTGTTCTCTTGGACTTGGCCTCTGTATTTGGAAATGTCTTCCAAGGTAGATTGTGATTCTTTCTCCTGATCACCACCTCTTCCTCTGTTTTCTTCTCGTCTTGCTCTCTCTGTCGCTGATTCTAATCCTCTTGCGTCCCTTCCATCTTCTTCCTTCTCGCCTCCTTCGAATGTGCACGTTATAACAGCAGTAGGACCTTGAGTTTCAACTCCAACCCTGCCTTAACTTCTCCTCCGCTCTCTGTGCCTCTCGTCCCCAGTTTCTCTTCTCTGATTCTAGCCTCCCCCCTGTTTTCCCAGCTTCTTCCCTCTTCTGCTTCAACCTGCCCTTTGTTCCCTCTTCTTCCTTTCTCCGCTTCAACTTGCCCTCTGTTTTCTCTTGCCTGTTTCTCCACACCGCTTTGCGTTGGTCCGCCCGTATTCACTACTCTGGATCGACTCTCGGGTTCAGATTGATCTCTCCCTCTAGCTCCTCCAGCCGAGCCCTTGTTCGCTTCAGCTTTCCCTTCGAACTGGCCCACATTTGAAAAGGGCGCGGTATTCCCGACTTTAGCGGCATAAGACTCTTTCTTCTCCCCTTTTCTCCCTTCACCTTATCAGCAAGAGATTCGAAATGAGGCCCCAATTCATGAGTCTCCCTGGCTTTCCCAGTCCCGCCAATATCCCCAATGGCTCTCCCGCCATGCTCCTTCCTGTACTCCCCACCCTGTAACTCCTGAATACTCCCTTGCGGGGTATCCGATCCTTCCTTGACCTGTTCAGCGAGATGCTCGAAGTGGGGGTCATCTTGGGGACTCGATCCTTCTCAATGTGAACCTCCCTCTCGGTAGTCGTGTTCTCCCTGCGAGACACCTGTTCCGACGCCATTGTTTGTCGTCAACTTCTTCTGTACAAGCGATCGCTTTATGTTCGATGATATGCTTGTCCGAGATGAGACACACAGAGAAACCGGAATGAGCGGGATATAAAAGGGGAAGTGAGCATGGCGGTCGGGAAGGAGGTGGCTGGTGGATGGGTATGCATGAGAGAGGACATGTGGGGGGAGAGGTGGCGCTGGTGCCACGTGGATGGGGGTGGTGATACCATTTGGGTGACTCAGCTTTGAATTCGCAGAGAGCAAAGAGGCGAAGATGAGGATCAATATGGCAATGTTCGAAGGCTTCGTGAAGAAGACACGTGGAAGCTTTGACGAAGAGTAACGAATGACTCGTTCAAAGCTTTGAACGAGGGGGCGAGGGGAGAGACATCTGGCCTCTGTTTTCTGGGTTTACATAAAATTGGTGGCCTATCCAAAAATTGGATTTGATTCTCGAGTTGTGGAACTCACAGCACGTTTATAGTATAATTTTGAATATCAGACCAAAAAAAAATTTTGAATAACTTGACTTAAATCTGATTTTAAAATGTTTTTAAAAAGATATTTATGTTTAGGCTTGAGTTCTGTAAGTTGTTATAATTATAGGAATAACCCAAATTATCAGTTACAGACCCTGAACCAATCAACTTTAGTTTAGTGTTAATCGGTCTCGGTTTAAAAAATCGATTTCATATGCAATTTAGAATCAATTTATTAAATTAAGCAAAAATATTGCCCTTTCAATATCTTAAGTAATTTATTTTTATTTCTGTTTCAATTTAATGCATTGATTTTAAACTTTGGTCATATCTATTCTTTTCAATATATTCATTAAAGACGATTTTACAACAATTTAGACCACCTTAGGACTAGAAGAAAGAAGTCATAGAACTAAAGTAAAACAATAAATACATTTGAATTATGAGTATATAAAAGTGAAAAATTGTATCATTTACAAGTCTTAAGCACTACTTTGACTTTTATCACACTTCAACTCAGTCTTGCAATATAAACTAGTAGTTTTAGACTGTGTTAGAATTTGAATTGAAAAATATTGATTATAAAACAATGATTAACAGAACGTGATGATATTTAGATAATATTTTTAAAATTGGTTTTAATAAAATTAAAGATATTTGGATAATTTTTAATACTAATTTTGAATATATAAATTACAGGCATTCATTTTATCGTATATATTATATTGAAAAAATTAATCTATGTGAAAAAACAAATCAATCTGTCTAATTTGGGATAAAATTCAAAAAAAATAAAAGGATCAGACTTTTATATATGATAAATAATAAAAAATGGATTGGGTCATTACTTGCATTGGGTAGGAAAAAAATAATAAAAAAAATGCAAAGAAACTCTCTCTCTCACACTCCGTGTTCGGCCAGTATATTCCCGTCTTCTTTCGCCTATCACACTATGGTCAGCACAGCACCCATCGGAACCGATAGAGCGACAAGGAAGGAGAATGAGGAAAACGAGTAGAGGAATGAGGAAGTAGATCGAGAGGAGGAAGCTCTCAAGATTGGAGGTGAAGAAGACACTCACGCAAGGGGTAGGAATGAGATCTTAAGGGAACAATTACAAATAATACTCATAATTTATTGGGAAGACCAACCAACCTATAATTTACAGTGTGCCAACTAGTTTTGAAAGCATAGTCATTTTTTAGGGAACAATTACAGATAATACCCGCTCACTTTCACATTTATATTTATTCCGACTTTAAACACACACATCCTCCTTATTACAGTAGGAGCGTTGGTGCTATATATAGCACATGGGCCACTGGCATTTATTTGAAAGCAGAGTCGATTTGAGGTAGTCATTGATGACCATAGAGAATGTTAATGATTTGGGTAATAATGAAGGCAAGTTTGTGCCAAAAAATAATCAAACTTTACAACTTTGGAGCATAACACCAATCCCTTGCTGGGGTTTATTGCTCCCACTTACGTAAGCAAATTAAAAACCCCCCAAAGCAAAAGGAAAAAAGAAAAATCAGGAAAGAGGAAACCAGTTAGGAAAAATCAAGAAAAGAGAGCAGCATGGAGAAGGAGATTCCAGGTATCAGGGAGGCCAGGGAGGCACAGTGACTGCAATCAGCAGCCATAATGTTACTGTAAGCCTCAGGGTGAGCATCTTTCCTGTACTGAGAAAGCGTCGTAACGTCCAAAAAATAGACAGGCTTCTTGATCCTGCTCAACACTTTGTTCACCACCACCCACGCCATTGGTGTCCCTGCTGGGTATTTGGCCCCGAAATACGGCTCTGTCTCCTTCGTGCATGACCTCTCTGGTTTCATTCCAGTCTCTCCCCCTGTATACATCCACCCCTCAATGTTCTACCTCATTTGCATTCCTCCTTCTACTCTAAATTCTTATATTTAGTTCAACATATAAGACATTTCGTACTTTTTTGAAATTATATTCCAACTTTACCCTTGTATTAATTAATCTAGTCACAAGAAAATATTCCCTCCGTTCAATATTACAAGGCATTTTTAACCTCATTACAATTCTAATAAAAGTCAATTGAATTTAAAATTACACGATCTTTTATGTATGTCTTAATTTAACAGGGTGCTTCAATTCAAAAAACTTATTAATTACACACCTTAATCAAGGATGTTTTTGAAAAGAAAAAAAATTGATCAACTACTCCTTGAAAAACCCAAAATATAATGTCTTATATTTTTTAAACATGATACTTAAAAAATGCCTTATAATACTGTACAGATAGAGTACAATGTTCTAACAAAACACTTTATAATCAAAGGTTGTAAGGTGGAAAAAGGAATGCCATTTTATCATGGAAGTAATAAAATAACTACTTTTATTAAACCCTAAACCCTAATTAGTGAAATCTAATTGAAAGTGTTCTACAATTAAAACGTAACGAAGTGGTCTCATAATGTAGAGGAATGATGAAGAGTGGAGAAGGAAGAACTCACTCATAATGTACAGGAGAAATGCCCAAGAAGAAGACCTTGGTGTTGGCAGGATCCACATTGAGGTTGACCCACCTGGCCCAAGTGGTTAGCCCTTTGTAGAAGGCGATGAAACGGTTCATGTCCTTGTACAGCTTCTTATCTGCCTCCATATATTCCCACCTCATGCTTCCATACAGTGTTGTCAACAACACTGACAATGCATTAACCCAACGGTCAAGCTTTCTTTTCACGGAGATCTTTATCATTATTAATGTAAGCATCATGAGTAATCACGAGACATAAAGTGAAGAAAAGTTAGAATGATCGTACGGCTGTGAGGTCTCAGTGTGGGTCCACCAGTGCCACGTGTTGAAGACCAGCACGTCCCTTCCTCTCCAAGCATCACCGCTCTTAATGGAATCAAGTTTCAACACTCGTCCCACGCTCTCATGATCCACATCCACCAAATACGCCGTCGGTACAATTCAGCTCCAGCCCATACTCCTGATCACACATTATTCATGCCCCCATCATTTCTCACTTCACTAGTATTCTTCTTCTTATTCTTTATGCAATCAAATTAAACACTCCTCTCGGGTTCGAACATAGGATCTCTTTTAAACTAGGGATGCTATATTGCTGGGACAACTTATGTTGACTATTATATTTCTTCCTATTATCATTGTCGTTATTTTTTCGGTGGATACTTCCATATTAATATATTACCATTAATTATGCCATGCTATTTCCCCAATTATCCTATTTTTTCACTTTTTCATGAGGTAAATCCAGGTTCGCGTACTATGATTCACTGTGGTAAATTATTTTTGGGGGGGGGGGTTGTTAAATATTCATTGTCCATTTATGATCTAGCTGGACTCCTACACAGTAATTCCTAGCGACAAGGGAGGACTGTATGTCCAACGTCAATCATTGCTAATTTGACATTAATTTCCCCAAGTTTCCATTTCAAGCAACTGGATTCTGGCCAGATATCTATCACAACAAAATCAAGAGATCGAAACTTTCTTATGAAAAAAAAACTATATAATCAAAAAAGAACCTTCTCACACAACTGAGCCTTATGTCTAGCGGTGACAATCAATATCAAAAAAACTAATAAATCACCAGTATAAATATAAAATATGTACTGAATTATATTATATGCCTAAGTTATGTTGCCTTGGACTTAGCTCTCAAGTATAGATCAATTTGCAACAACAACTATGTTTTAAGTACTTATTACAATTTATTTATAAGTCACTTCTAACATATTAATTAGAATTATATAAAATTTTAAAGTTTTTAAAATTTAACTAAAAATTTAACAAATTTTTAAGTTTATCTATGTTAAATATACATAATTTAATAATGTAACTCCTATCACCAGCATTTAATGGAAGTATGAGAAAAAAAATTTATAATAAAAAATAATAATATGATTATAAGACTGAAAAAAAATTTCTCTTGGAAAATAATAATGGGCACGTTGGAATTTGGTGGCTGAGGTGAGAGATTAATTAAATTACGCAAGGCCTAAGACACAATCATTAATGATGCATTGCTATTAAAATCAGACATGTTCCCTGAAAAAGGAAAAGCATCCCACCAATCACGTCCTAACATTATTGCTCTCCCTTCAGTGCTCCTCACAGTCACAGACAAAAGTATGCTCGCCGCGAAGTACTATCAAGATCGGATTTAGGCTTAACAATCAAAATATGATGAAAAGTCCGATCCCACTTTAGGTGATTGCAAGAGCTTGAAAAGACGAGAAAACGGAAGAAAATGAGAGAAAAGGAAGAAAAATGCGAGTGATCAAATTACCCCACCTCAAAGGTCACTGAGGTAAGAGCGTTCTACTCTTGTTGAACGTGGTCCTTGATTTTGGCACCCAAAGCGTGAATCATAACAAGCCAGCGAGTTGAATGGTTCAAACTCAGTGAGTCACCGACAAACATTATTTCTTCCCTCTGTATTCTCCAGAAACTTCAAGCATTGAATCTGCACACACACCCCAA